TAGGCGAGCTGAAGCTGTAGCTTTTATAGGCGAGCTGAAGCTGGTAGCTTTTATAGGCGAGCTGAAGCAGGAAGCCTTTATAGGCGAGCTGAGCAGGAAGCCTTTATAGGCGAGCTGAAGCAGGAAGCCGCTCTTTATAGAATCAGAGTGCCTTTATAGACGAGCTGAAGCAGGGTGCCTTTATAGACGAGCTGAAGGAGGGAGCCTTTATAGGCGAGCTGAAGGAGGGAGCTTTTATAGGCGAGCTGAAGGAGGGAGCCTTTATAGGCCAGCTGAAGGAGGGTGCCTTTATAGGCGAGCTGAAGCAGGGAGTCTTTATAGGCGAGCTGAAGCAGGGTGCCTTTGTAGGCGATCTGAAGCAGGGAGCCTTTATAGGCGAACTGAATGTAGCCTTTATTGGCGAGCTGAAGGGAGCCTTTATAGATAAGCTGAATGGAGTCTTTATAGAAAGGGAGTCTTTATAAAACTGAAGGGAACCTTCAGGCTGGAACTGATGGGGGACTTTACCAGCAAGGTGAATGAAGGGTTTCATAGACGACCTGAAGGAAATCTTTATATGCGAGCTGAAGGTAGTCCTTATCGACCAGCTGAAGGGAGTGTTTGTCTGATTCAGCTCGCCTATAAAGGCTCCCTCCTTCAGCTCGTCTATAAAGGCTCCCTCCTTCAGCTCGCCTATAAAGTCACTCTGATTCAGCTCGCCCATAAAGGCTCTCTGCTTCAGCTCGCCTATAAAGGCTCCCTGCTTCAGCTCGTCTATAAAGGCTCCCTGCTTCAGCTCGCCTGTAAAGGCTCCCTGCTTCAGCTCGCCTATAAAGGCTCCCTGCTTCAGCTCGCATATAAAGGTACTCTGATTCAGCTCGCCTATAAAGGCTCCCTGCTTCAGCTCGCCTATAAAGGCTCCCAGCTTCAGCTCGCCTATAAAGGCTCCCTGCTTCAGCTCGCCTATAAAGGCTCCCTGCTTCAGCTCGCCTATAAAGGCTCCCAGCTTCAGCTCGCCTATAAAGACTCCCTGCTTCAGCTCGCCTATAACGGCTCCCTGCTTCAGCTCGCCTATAAAGGCTCTCTGCTTCAGCTCGCCTATAAAGGCTCCCTGCTTCAGCTCGCCTATAAAGGCTCCCTGCTTCAGCTCGCCTATAAAGGCTCCCTGCTTCAGGTCGCCTATAAAGGCTCTCTGCTTCAGCTCGCCTATAAAGGCTCCCTGCTTCAGCTCGCCTATAAAGGCTCCCAGCTTCAGTTCACCTATAAATGCTCCCTGCTTCAGCTCGCTTATAAAGGCTCGTTTATAAAAACTACCTTCATTTCCCCTATGAGTACTACTATTCTAGTTCAAGGACATATGTACTGATATAAGATGACCTTTAGCCCTTCGCCCTATTGTTTTATCACATTCATATTATGAAAACGCATAGGTTGCATCATCTGACGTACATAATTACTTGCGGATTAATATATATTGTCTGTTGAACCACTATCACCCAATATTGCGGCTATTTATAGAATATTCCTCTTGAACGACCCCCATGGGAATATTGGTATTTTTTTTTTCTAAACAAGGCATGTCATAAAACCATATCACCCTCATTAGAAGCTTATGGGGGGTTTGTGAATAGCCGACAAAATTTGCCTTATCGAACATCATTTATATGAGTTATCAAACAACTATGGAGGTGAATAGGCGCCTTCAATACCCTACCAGAGGTGTTCATCATCTTTTTAATTCTATATTTTATCCGACAAAAATGGACGAAAATATTCGGTTAGGTATATCAGGATATATAAAACTGTTGGGTCCTATTTAAAAAAACACTCATACTTGTTGGTACCGAAGCATTTATGACAGAGGGTGTCAAAAAAATACTCACTTTTCCCATGGCAAATTACATTTGGACCTACCATAATCTGCAGTTTCAACAACCCCTACATGTTTATATTTATGCACATCCGATCTGAACTTATCTAAAAACAAACTTCTAGCAATTGACCAAAAATAAACTCAAAACATTTAATAATCTACGAACATACATAACTACGTACATACTGATGACAGTCATGAGAGTACGCACAAATGTTTGCGGAACATTACAAGGTATAGTTGCAGTGCAACACCCATTTAGCTATTCAGTATAAATTTGTCCATTGAAGTAATCGAACGGGAAAAGAAAACATCATAAAAATTGAAAATGTCATTCAAACTCTTCAATTTAGACGAACAATATTTTCGGCATCCTGAAGTTCGGCGAGAAGAAGTCCTCAAACTACTCGCCGAACTGGCTGGTCACTGGTCACTGGCTCAGAAACATTTACCCACCATTACCGAACATGAGGCATTACTTTTCTACTTTGCCTGTAAATGTAGCATGGAAAATGCCAAAATGGTATTGGATTTAAATTTCACATGTCGCACCCACTTCGAAGAGTTTTTCGGAAATGTGGATGTTGCCACGCCGGAAATGGAACTTGTCAGGGAGACGGTGTAAGTATTCACGAAAGATATATTTTTATATGTGCAAGAAAATCGATGTAGAAATTGATAGAAGATATTTCCTTTAATTTTAGAGCTGGTTTCCCATTGCAGCAACAAACTCCGGAAGGTTACACGGTGGTCGTTATCAATATTTTGGATCCTGATGTGTCAAAATTTAATTTCATTAATTCCATTAAATTGTAAGTATTCCGATAGAACTTATATTAAAGGACTTTCAGCTTTAATTTGAAGGCATGTAGGAGTCTTCTATTACATAAGACATTCTTCTACTACAATTTCCCTGAGATTTCTATTAAAAATTAATTCTCCTACATACGAAGTGAGTTCAAAATGTATCGAACTATAGTTAAGGAAGTCTATTGAAAATTATATGAAGACATGAATTCAATTATAGGCCGAGAGTCTATTCTAGACTTATAGGGAGTTTATTATAGACGATCTGAAGGCATGAAGTTTTTATACAGGAACTAAGGTCAGGAAGTTTTTTGGACGAGCTAAAGGTCGGAACTTCGTTATAGATGATCTGAAGGCAGGGAGTCTTTATAGATGATGATGTAAGGTCTATTGAAAATTATATGAAGGTATGGATTCTTTTATAGGCCGAGAGTCTATCCTAGACTAGTAGGGAGTTTATTATAGACGATCTAAAGGCAGGAAGTCTTTATACAGGAACTAAGGTCAGGAAGTTTTTTGGACGAGTCAGTCTTTATAGATAATCGAGAGAGAGAGAGAGAGAGAGATTCCCTGAAGAAGTCTGGTGATGCTATAACCGTAAAATATATCTGATGGGGTTCTATGGCTATATAAAATTTGAGGACCGAGGAGAACCATTTAAGGCCCTTATGGGCTATAAGTCTCTATAGAAGAACGAAAGTGAGTCTTTATATACGATCTTTAAAAGGATCTGAAGACGCCTTATGATTTTCTATTGATCGTAGAAGGCCTCCAGCTCGCCGATAAAGGCTTTCTACCTTAGGCTCGCCTATAAAGGCTCCATGGCCTTCAGCTCACCTATAAAGGCTCCCTGCTTCAGCTCGTCTATAAAGGTTCCCTGGCCTTCAGCTCGCCTATAAAGGCTCCCTGCTTCAGCTCGCCTATAAAGGCTCCCTGCTTCAGCTCGTCTATAAAGGCTCCCTGGCCTTCAGCTCGCCTATAAAGGCTCCCTGCTTCAGCTCGCATATAAAGGCTCCCTGCTTCAGCTCGCCTATAAAGGCTCCCTGCTTCAGCTCGCCTATAAAGGCTCCCTGCTTCAGCTCGCCTATAGAGGCTCCCTGCTTCAGCTCGCCTATAGAGGCTCCCTGCTTCAGCTCGCCTATAGAGGCTCCCTGCTTCAGCTCGCCTATAGAGGCTCCCTGCTTCAGCTCGCCTATAGAGGCTCCCTGCTTCAGCTCGCCTATAGAGGCTCCCTGCTTCAGCTCGCCTATAGAGGCTCCCTGCTTCAGCTCGCCTATAGAGGCTCCCTGCTTCAGCTCGCCTATAGAGGCTCCCTGCTTCAGCTCGCCTATAGAGGCTCCCTGCTTCAGCTCGCCTATAGAGGCTCCCTGCTTCAGCTCGCCTATAGAGGCTCCCTGCTTCAGCTCGCCTATAGAGGCTCTCTGCTTCGGCTCGCCTATAGAGGCTCCCTGCTTCAGCTCGCCTATAGAGGCTCTCTGCTTCGGCTCGCCTATAGAGGCTCCCTGCTTCATTTCGCCTATAGAGGCTCCCTGCTTCAGCTCGCCTATAGAGGCTCCCTGCTTCAGCTCGCCTATAGAGGCTCCCTGCTTCATTTCGCCTATAGAGGCTCCCTGCTGCAGCTCGCCTATAGAGGCTCCCTGCTTCAGCTCGCCTATAGAGGCTCCCTGCTTCAGCTCGCCTATAGAGGCTCCCTGCTTCAGCTCGCCTATAGAGGCTCCCTGCTTCAGCTCGCCTATAGAGGCTCCCTGCTTCAGCTCGCCTATAGAGGCTCCCTGCTTCAGCTCGCCTATAGAGGCTCCCTGCTTCAGCTCGCCTATAGAGGCTCCCTGCTTCAGCTCGCCTATAGAGGCTCCCTGGCCATCAGCTCACCTATAAAGGCTCCCAGCTTCAGCTCGCCTATAGAGGCCCCCAGCTTCAGCTCGCCTATAGAGGCTCCCAGCTTCAGCTCGCCTATAGAGGCTCCCTGCTTCAGCTCGCATATAGAGGCTCCCTGCTTCAGCTCGCCTATAGAGGCTCCCTGCTTCAGCTCGCCTATAGAGGCTTCCTGCTTCAGCTCGCCTATAGAGGCTCCCTGCTTCAGCTCGCCTATAGAGGCTCCCTGCTTCAGCTCGCCTATAAAGCTTGATTATAAAGGATCCCTGTGTCAGCTCGCCTGTAAAGGCCTACCTTTAGCTTAGCTTCAGTTCGTCTATTATTAAATTATTATTTTTTCCCTCAGATATTCCATTGGCCAAGACAAATGGATGTTGGAAAAGGGTGTTATGTCGGGACTTATTTTTGTTTTGGACATGTCCAACCTAACTTTTGGTCACATTACAAGGATTGGTATATCCGCATTGAAGAAGGTTATGTACTATCTGCAAGTAAGTAGAAAACAAAATAAATCGGATATTTAAATAAATTTAAAATTATTTACCTCCTCTACCTAGGAAGCAATACCAGGTCGTCTGGTTGGTCTACACTTCATAAATACCAGTAAAATAATTGACAAATTAATGGCCATACTAAATCCTCTGATGAAAAAGGAACTCATGGAAATGATACATGTCCACAGCAGCATGGATAGTTTTTATAAATTTGTACCGAGGGAAATATTGCCCAGAGAATATGGTGGTTCTAGTGGGACAATAAGGGAATTATATGGTAAGAAGGATCGACTAAAAATGTCAGGAACTTTCATGATATTAATTTTTTTGTAGACATATATTTTGAATTTTTGCTGGAAAGCCGCCAAGAAATCATCGATTATAACAACAATCATCGTGTCAATGAGAAATTACGTCCCGCTAAGAGCAAACCTAATTCGGAACTTTTTGGTACCGAGGGTAATTTTAAGAAATTGGATATTGATTAAATTTACTTAAGTGAAAATAAAAAAACAAATATATAATTGACCCCAAAAAAAGTTCGACTTTGATGTAGACAAAATTTTTAAATTCTCCATAGCTAATTAAAAATTAGCAAGTAAATTTAGTTTTGAACTTTGTTCCTGTTTAATTTTATTGGGGGACTTATAAAACCAGTACACATGTTCCAAGTAATAAACAATTAAATTAGTTTGTCGTCACAGCTATGACAGCTATTAGTCAATGCTAATTAAAATCTGAATATTAGCGTTCAACTGTGTGTTTTAAAATTCTCCATTGAACCTATAAAATCATTTTGAAAAAAAAAGAGTACACATGACTCGAAGTAGCAGTTTTAGAGCATTTAACATAATTGGCCATTATCTATAATTGCGTTGATACTATATACGTGGTGTTTTCAAAAATAAATTGACGAGCTGAAGGGTTTTTTTCATAGGCAAGTAGAATGGAGTGTTTCATAGATGAGCTGATATGTAGGGATTTTTAATCTTTCATAGAGTTTCGGAAAGAATGGGAGTCACGGTGTCTTTATAGGCCAGCTGAAGGTCAGGAATTTTTATGTATGAACAGAAGGGAGAGTTGACAGCATGGAGTCTCCATAGACGAACCAAAGGTAGAGAGATGATCTGAAGGCGAGCTGAAGGTTTTAAATACTATTTAAAACGTTAAGATCTTTTTTGCGATCGTCTATGGAGATCTTCTATTGGGCGCCGATATCCTTAGAAAATATTTAAACCTGCAACGGACTTATATTTACTACGCAATACCTCTGGTGACTGGCAGGGGTCTTTAATGTCTTTCGGGTTGATCTAAGTATAAAAATTAGAGAATCTTTAGAATATTCCGACTTTATCGAGATGTTACAATGACGGAAGTACTCTGTGGGTACAGAAAATCGGTTATGGTATATTTTTAAATGATATTCTTCTAAACCAAACTTATCCAGTGGCGCCCAATGGAAAACCTTTAAAGGCCTTCAATATATAGTGATTATATTGACTATAGAAGAAGTCTATCAGGTCGATAGGCGGAAATAATATTTTCTAAGGCTTATCAGGAAGATAAGCCTAAATTTTTAAAGTGACTGTCAGGGCGATGTGCGTGGCGTTTCCACGAATATTTTCTGAGGGACTATCAGGACGATTTGCTTATTGACGATCTATCGAAATATGTTATGAACTTATATTTACTTACTTAATAGCATGTTGAAGTGACTGGGAGACTTCATAGATGATCTGAAGAGATTTGGATGTATTTTATTAACAGTAGAAAACCTTTAAAAATTTCAATTATCCTCCGGATGATCTTCTATTGGCCGTTGAAGACGTTTGCAAGTATTTATATTGACTATAATTTTATATTGACTATATATTTTCAGGATATTCTATTGGCCTTCGATACCCTTAGAAATATCTAAACATGTAACGACCAAATATTAACTACGGAATATCTATTAGGATTATCGGGGTCTTTGCTGGCAGGTGGATAACTGGGAGTTTTTATAGACGATTTGCAGACAGTCTCTGAAGAATTCGGATGATTTCTAGACCTGTAACGAATGTTTAAGGTATTTAAAGGCAGATTGAAGAGTAAGAAATATGTCTTTATAGGAAATCAGGAGGGAACCTCTGAAGATCGTTGATTATCTTCTATTTGCCTCCAGGTGATCTTCCATTGACCGAAAGCCAGGTTTAGATATTTTTGGTATTCCATCGACCATAAAATACTTCTGAAACTCTTCTATTTGCTACAGGAGGCATTTAAATTCTCAGGGCTTCTATTGAAGGTAAATTCTGAGGGACTATCAGGACGATATGCGTAGATTTTTAAGGAATATTTTATGAGGAACTAGCAGGACGATGAACGTGATTTTTTACAAATATTTCTGAAGGCCTATCACGAAGATGAACTTATTTATTTAAGAATATTTTCGGAGGAACTATTGGGACGATAAGCGTGGTTTTTTAAGAATAATTTTTGAAGGAAAATATAGATTTTTACGAATATTTTCTAAGGACTGATTGGCGACGATATGCGTAAATTATTTACGAATATTTTCTGAGGAAGTACCATATCAAAAATTCTCTAGGCTTCTATTGAAGGCCATCTATTGACTACAAACCAAATCATCGAAAAACTTTTCAAATGAAGATCTTCTATGATTCTGTAGAAGATCCAGAAGGCCACTGATATTCTTCGACTGACCTCTTGAGGTCTTCTAACAACCGTAGACCACCTCAGAAGGTCCGGCATTGATTGAAACAGTTTTCAGATATTGCTATTTTGCCTTAAGGAGACTTCTGAAGATCTTCAGTTGGTCTGATATATTGTAGCATGTGATCGTCCTCTGCTGATCGTAGGAAAAAATAATTGATGGTCTCACAGCGACCGACCGGAGACCTCTTATGACCTTTTATTACCCATAGATGTTATGTAATATATTGACCACATACGAATACGAAGGTCTCTTCTCCGCTGAAGACTTTCTTTTGGAGTTCTGCTGGCCATGTGAGACCTTTGATTATCAAATATTATTTATAAAGGACCCACGACCAAACATTAAAACGGCGATAAGTTCGCCTTGCTTTAGTCATATTTTTACTTTTAAGTTTTTTTTAATTAGGTCACATTGTCAAAATATAGAATGAACTTTGATTTGGTCCAAATGGTCCGGTTTTTTATATCATGTCGTTTTTTGTTGTTGCGACCGTTCTCCTACTACCAGTTTATTCTAAATAATAATGATGATGATGTTAATGATTGTTATCGGAATAAAAACAGTAATAGCAGCAAGCAGCAGCAACAACAGGTATGGAATTGTGTTGAATGCAAACATTCTCGCAATCCCATAACAGCTTTCAATCGAAACGCATCTTTATTACCTTAGCTGCGGAACCAAAAAACTTAAATGTGGCAATTTTTCGATTTGGAGGAACAATATCGCCGCTTCCCCACCATAAAACGTGACGAAGTACAAAAACTTCTAGAATGGCTGAATGGCCAACCGCATCTACCCCAGCTAACCGAACAAGAGGTACTGCTCTTCTATCAGGCATGTAATCATCAAATGGAATATACCAAACAGGTGATCGATGATTCGTTTACATTTCGCACCCACAATGAAGATTTCTTTGGTAATGTCGATACGGATTCGCCGCAAATGTTGCAGGCCATGGAAACGGTGTAAGGAGGATAATTTGAAATGAGAGTTTGAAATGAAATTTTCTAAATAAGTTGTTTTTTTTTTTAATTTTTCCAGTGCCGGATTCCCATTGGAAAAACGTTCGCCCGAGGGTTGTGTTGTAATTTTGGGTAAATTAATCGATACCGACTCGTCGAAATTTGATTTTGTTGGAGCCATGAAACTGTAAGTATGAAAAAAAAATCGAGAAATTTCCGAACTTTCCGACTTTAAGGAAGAACTGTAATGACTTTCAGAAAGATAAACTTGAATTTTTAAAGGAGCTATCAGGACGATATGTGGGCGTTTTTTAAGAATATTTTCTGAGGAACTACCAGGACGATAAGCGTGGGTTTTTAGGAATATTTTCTGATGGACTATCAGGAAGATAGGCGATGATTTTTAAAAGGGACTATCAGGGCGATGCGCAAGGATTTTTTTAAGAATATTTTCTGAGGAACTACCAGGACGATAAGCGTGGGTAGTGGGTAGTAGCGTAGATTTTTACGAATATTTTCGGAGGTACTATGGCGATGATAAACCTAGATATTTTACGAATATTATCTAAGGGTCTATCAGAACTATTAGCGTAAATTTTGTTATGAATATTTTCTATGAGAAATTAGGACGATAAGCGTGGATGAAGAAGATCGCCAGTCTACAGTATACCTGACAAATATGTTAAGTCTATAGGAATCCTGACGAAAGACTTCCGTTAACAGAAGATCTGAAAAATTTAAGTTGTATATAGAAACCCTGTAGAGGTCTTCTGTATATATAGACCTTCCGTCTATATAGAGAACTGAAAAAAATTCTTTTACTCCGGGCATAACCTAAAGGAGAACATCAACCTATCGGACAATAGAAGATCTACTGGAACTCTTTAGTCTATTGGAAACCTAAAGAAGGTCGTCCGTCTACATACCTGAATACCTGACAAATGTCTTCAGTCTATAGAGGTCCCGACGAAATTCTTACCTTACCAGAAGACCTGAAAGACGTAATCTGTAAATTCAAACCCGGAAGATGGCCTCCTGTGTAGGAGGGATTCGAAGAAATTCTTCTGTTTATGGAGAACTCAAAAAAAGCCTTCACACCGGATAAGACCTAAAGAAGATGTTCAATCACTACTGACTGCCTATAAACCCTCAAAGTCTTCTGTCTATAGAAAATCTGAAGAAGATCTTATATCTATTGAAGTTCTGGAGATGTTCAGGTCATTTATTAAATACCTCATCCTTCTTTATTTGTTTCAACTGATGAAGACTTTTGTCAGGTATTCTATAGATGAAGTCTACAGGTGGTTTCTATAGATAACCTGAAGGAAATCTTACATAGATCACCTCAAGGAAGTATTCTATAGATCGCCTATATGAAGATCTTAAGATGATCGTATATCTATAGTAGCTGTGGAGATGTTCAGGTTATCTATAAAATATCTCCAGATATGTTCTACAGAAGAAGAAGAAGTTTGTCAGTATTTGTAGAGAGTCATCAATAGATGATCTGAATAAGATCTTCTATATATAGACGCCTGAAGAAGGTCTTCTGTCTATAGAAAATCTGACCTGAATAAAATCATATTCTATAGCATATATGATGAAGTTCATCGATCAATAGACCAACTATAAAAGACGTAGAGAAGAAGTCTAAGGAAGAGTAACATTTCTTCAGTCTCTAGAAAACTTGAAGAGGACAATTGATCGTTATCAGAGAGAGAGAGCCAAATATAAATCAAGATTTCGGATATTCTCAAATTATCTGATTTATTAAAATAGACTTATTTTCCTGATAAATAGAACCTTT